TGTGTGTGTGTGTGTGTGTGTGTGTTCATGCCTGCAGACAAAGAAGCGCTTTGCCAAGGAGTGGGCGGAGGCTGAAAAAGCCACACAGCAAGCAGAGAAAACAGAGAACGACCTCAATGCCACCAGACTCGACGTCGAGAAAGTAAACACAACCACTTTAGCATCGATAACTGAGAGCAGTTTTTATTTCAACTTTTAGTTTTTAAGATATTTTCAGTCCAAAAAAACTCCTTGAACTTTCCTTGTCTCCCTCTCCTCCTCCTCCTCCTCCTCCTCCTGCTGCTCCTCCCTGCATCTATTCCTACACTCCTTCCACTTTACATTTTGTTTTGCGTCTCTTCATTTGCTCCTCTCCCCGCATCCCTTCATCTTCCCCTCTCTTTCTTTTTCCGTTGTTCCATCTATCCCTCGCTCTGAAGGCCAAGCAGCATGCCCATGCTCGAACACACACGGCAGAGGAGTGCAGGAACGACTACGCAGCACAGCTCCAGAAATATAACAAGGAGCAGAACTTCTTCTACTACTCGGAGATACCGCAGATCTTCAATGTGAGACAAAGACACACATTCACAGTGCAGTACAAGCTCATATGCTGCTATTGTGGCTCACTGAACGCAAACCAAACACGCCTTTGTGTTGTCCTTCTCCGGTGTCTTTATATGGGAATGTATATTGTGGAAACATGGCCGACGTGACTGTAACATGAAATCAAAGGGAGCTGCTGTATGTGTGTTTGCTGAACAGAAAATGCAGGACATGGATGAACGGAGGATCCGGCGGTTGGCGGAGGGCTACTGCCAGTTTTCAGATATCGAGAAGAAAGTGCTGCCCATCATCTCCAAATGTCTAGAAGGAATCTCTACAGCAGGAGGGAAAATTGATGAGAAGCAGGCGAGTGAGAAATGTTTGTGACAGTTTGTCCGTTTCTGTCCAGTGTTTTATCTGAGACACCTCTGATCTGATGGTTATCAGATTTAGAGGGATGCTGATCCACGATGTGGTGTTTAAAGGAACAGTTTGACATTTCAGGAGACACACTAACCTGCATTCCCACTAAGAGTTAGATTATACCAGCCTCATATCCCACATGATCAGGAAGATACAGGCACCCAGAGTCACTTTGGTTGGACATAAAATCTGTGAAATGCATCTGTTATGAAGTAGGTACAGTGCTGCCCACTTAATGTCATACCGCTTTATAGAATATCATGTTTATAATCATAAAATATTGAAGTCCCGAATCATTTCCTATATAAGCTATAGTAATATAGAATAATGTCATAATCCTGTTTTTTTGTCATAACAAAATTCCCGGAAATTGATTCCAGGAACAACTTTTACCCGTTTAAAGTCACGGTCGGCCGATCGTGACGGCTCACGGGCTGAGCGTCGGTCATGTGTGGTAGATTATCACATCCTGGTCAGCCGAGGAAGGCAACGTGTTTGTCAACTACCTGAGATCTGCTTCACTGAGTTATTCACACACTGTTGGACATTAATCAGGGCACATCAGAGGGAATCGCATGTCGTCACTGGTAACTGAACTGCTCAGCTAGTTAATCATGATGAGTTTATCCTCTGTTTACCCTCTGAGTAAAGGAAGTAACTTTTATGATGGGGCGACTTTTCATACCGACCAAGGTGAAATTTCACTGAAGCAAAACTAATAAACATTTCTTGATCCTAAATGAAACTGTCCTTTTGATCTTGTGAAAAAGTTCCCATTTTGGCTTTAGAATAATAATAATTGATCAGATTTATATGGCGCTTTTCTAACTCAAGGAGTAACTCAAAGCGCATACACTGTCAGTTATTCATTCACACACATGCATTCTGGTGGTGGTAGCTACGATTGTAGCCACAGCTCCCCTGGGGCAGACTGACAGAGGCGTGGCTGTCATTCTGCACCTACGGCCACCACCTCAAACAATCCATTCATACGCACTCACACCAGGCAAGGTGGGTGAAATGTCTGGCCCAAGGACACAACGACCATGACACAGAAATCGAACCGCCGACCTTCCGATCATTGACCGACCCGCTCTACCACCTGAGCCACAGCTGCCCCAAACAAATAAACCCCCGATTTTCGTCACAATTTTCTCAGTGCTCTATCATTGCAGACATTTCGATACGCTGATCTTGAAGCTTATTGGAATATCCCGGATATAGTCATGATTCCATCCTGGACCGAGGGCATGACAATAAACGGGCAGCACTGTATTTACATTTTCCACCTGCGTTCTGTGTTGCACCTCATATCGGCGATCGTCTGCACTGCAAGTTGCTGCAGCTGATTCCTCTGCTCCTGTTTGCTGCTCTGGACACTGAGCTAATGCACCCTGATCTGTTAAAACTTGACTCAGAGGTGTTTCTGTAGCTTGAGGCTGGCTTGTAAAATTAAGTCACTGCAGTTTGGTGGGTGTGTTTTTTTTCAGCTTCATGATATTTTGTGTACAAACTGAGCATTGCGTATACGAGTGGAATTTTTCTTCCTGCTGGTTTTTGTAGCCCCTTTTTTTTTTTTTTGTAGTATTTGTCTTATTAGAGATGAATTACAAAGTTTTTGGATGTTTTAACGTCCTGTAAGCACTTCATATTGTTGTTTCATTCTGGTAATGGTGTTTACTTCTATTTGCTAACTTGAACGGTTTCCTGCTGTCACACAGTATTACCAAAGTCATTTGATATACAAGTTGTAAACACAGCAGATTGCTTCATTTGGGAGGGGGAGGCCAGTAACCCCCTGTAATTACAAACACACTGCTGACCAGTCAGTGCTAAGCCGACCGCTAGTCGCTGCTGTTGGCTCCACACCCATCATCCGTGCACAGTGTCCTCCTGTGGGAGAGGAGCTGGAACGAGCAGCTTGTTAGATGGGGTTTTGTCTTTATCATTTGTTATTGTCAGAATAAACGAAGATCACCTCCGACAGATCAGGGTGTCATGGCGCCCTCTTACTAACAAGACAACATAGACCGTCTACAGTGTTGGCGAAAGGTGTCATTCTAAGTGTGTGTAAGCCTGCAGTTCAGCCCGGTTTAGCCGAAAAGTCCTTGAATGTTAGTTTTATGACTGCTGGTGCAGCTGAGTCACTCATGGCTTTTTGGCTGCAATGAGAAGTGCTTTTTGTTACAAAATCTGGTCAACATTCTATTTTTTCACAAATTGTAGAGTGATTTTAATGGAATGTCACAATTTTAAGCTTAGATTTGGTGATGTTTCTTTACTTAACTGCATGTCACAGAAGAATGGTTCAGAGACCAGCAGGAAGTTTTTATAGTTTCTGGCTGATAAATGGTTTAATTTGGGGTANTCACAGAGATGCACATTGTAATGTCTACAAAAACAAAATCTCAGTTTACATCATTTTTAAACAGCATTGTGCAATTTTTGGCCGTCCCAGATGAAAGATAACAACCGTGAGAGAATCGTGGCGATATGTTGTCAGAAATTTGTTGTGATCATCTCACAGTGTGACTGCTGCTGCGACCCACGTCAACTAACTAACCAATAGAAATGCAGTATGAAATGACGTACTGATCAGTGCGATGCTAGCTCCCTTTGCAAAATTGGCCTCTCTTTACGAGCCACAACCGCATCCATATTCTCCTTTTTTGGGGAGTTCTCTCCAAACACATAAATGCCACAAGAGCAAGGGCTCCGTTCATTCATGCTTCGCTAGTTTCTTTTTCGTGGATAGATGGCGCATACTTATTATGTTTTATTCTTGCACTTTCACGTCGACTCATGTACATCATAGGCTGCGATTCAGCTTGCGTTTTCATCGTGCAATCTGCACACAGCAAACTTCATGTCGTGCCCAAAGTTTATTAGATTAAAGCGTACAGTGTAGCTACCTGTGAACTTCTGAGACTGTTAACATCGTACAGTTCGTAGCCGGCCTTCGGTGACACATTATTCCATGTAACCTCTTTATTTTCTTGACATTCAAGCAGCTCATATCTCAGTAGTTTTAGTTTCTGTTGGCTGCATAAGCCTGGCAATGAGTGTGTGCAGATATTCAATAACACTAATCTCTATTAGACCTTGTTATTTTCTTAAGCATTTTCGATGTTTTCGCCCTTTAAAAAGCGCTGTTTGCGGTTTTGACGTATCAACAGGTAGAAACAGAGTTTTCAGCCTGTGGGAGTCAAAGTTTGTGCCGTTTTCTCTTACGAGTACGTGACGTGTTGCAGCAGTGGATGTGGTCGATATAGTGCTGGTAGTCGACTTACTAACATGTTTACACGTAAATGTTGCTCTAAAAGTTCCTCTTCTTCTATACTGAGGACTAGAGGTGTCAAATCAGTCCACACATGTGATCCTCCCCTTCCTCAGTGCCCCATTGTAGGCAGCCTATAAGGGCTGAAACTAACTATTTTCATTGTCGATTAATCTGTCAATTATTATTTTTTCCATTAATCGACCAGTTGTTTGGTCTGTAAAATGTTAGAAAATTGAGAAAAATGTTAGTTGGTGTTTTCCAAAGCTCAAGTTGACATCCTCGAAAGTCTTGTTTTGTCTACAATCCAAAGATAATTCAGTTTACTGTCATAAAAGAGGAACGAAAATTCAAAATCTACTAATTTAAGAAGCTAGAAAAAAGGAATTTTGACTTTTTTTGTACCTAAATAATGACTCAAGCTAATTAATGATTATCAAAATAGTTGGTGATTCGCCTGCCGGAACTCGTAATGACCTTTATTTGCAGGTTTGTAATCGACTAACATTGTTTAATGTGCATGGTGCAGCTCATTTCAATGTAGTGATGCAGAAATGACCATGAAGTGAACACATAATGTTGAGATTACAAAGCAAAGTATAAAATCAAGCACTGATCTGTCAGAATCCTCCCGACTAGTTAGCAGTGACCATCAGCACTAGTGATCAACTAGGGTTTCTTTTCATTATGATAGCCTATGCTGTCCCTCTCCTGTGACCCACAAATCGTTCCCCTCCACCATCATGGAGGATTTTTCAGTCCAGAGAGGAGGCTTCTGGAGGAGCTTAGAGTGAGGAAACCCAGGTGTGAAGCAACAGGTGACAAGCAGCTTTAGTCTTCCCACAAAATACACAGATTCAAACCAAATTTCTGTCCATAAACGGTGTTTTCCTTTTTGCTGCTTCACCTGGATGCTCACTGTCTCTCTAATCTAATCATGCAGCTAAAAAGAGCAGACTGCAGGTTGTAGTTAGAGACACAGACACGTTTAGATCGTTTTAATATCGAGCACCGGCCTCAGACTCGGAGGCAGATGTTGCTGTAATACAGTTTCTCTTCATTGATCGGCCTGTTCTGTGCTGATGAAGTGGTGTGTAGCACAGATGGAATTAAATCAGCTGCCTTATTGCTTCTTCTGTCTTCCTTCTCCTCAGCACTGCTGTTGGGTTTACATATAAAACAACGGTGGCGGCAGAAAGCTTGCAGTTTGTCGTACCAACAAGCACCAGCACACGCGCTGAGGAAGGAGTGAAGCAGGAGGCGCCTCGTGTCTGGAAGTTTTGAATATATTTGCATGCTCCTATTGTATATTCTTATATTAGGGATACACTTTGTATTTAAATACACCAGAAGGAAAAGCTTTAATGGCTCAACCTATGTTAGTAAAATACCACTTCAACAAGGAATAATTACTAAGAAACTCATTTACAAGTAGCTGGAGCAGTCAGTCCGGTTGTTTGGTGGTTTCCATTCTGATGGAGATGTGTGAGAGTCTGAGCTCAGACCAGCTGGGACGCTGCTGCTGCTGCCGCTGCCAGCGTTGCGTCACTGCGAGGGGTGGGACTAGTCCGACTGGTTCCAGGGTTTACAGAGGCCCCTGGGACCGTCAGTCACAGGGCGGAGGTTCACACTGAGCTAATGATTATCTCATTCCTGAACTGTTCTTCCTCTCACACAAACACGCAGATGTGTTGCACTACAGTAATGGGGCGTTTCTTGTAGAAGGGGGGAAATGCGCACAGGAGTGTATCTCACTGATTCTTTAATCTCTCCATCAACGCCGCTCTGATTTTCCCTGATCGCGTTCCTTCCTGGTACAAACCACCTACGTTACTCCATCGTCCTCTCGTGTTTTTCTATTCCTGTTCTTTCCTGCTTCTCTCTCGTATCCAGGACATCGCTAACTGTGTTACTGTATGATCTCCATTTAGCTTCCCCCCTCCTCTGAGGACTCGGTATCTGTGTCTCGGGCTCCTGAAGACCCTGCAGCCCCAACACACACACACACACACACACACACACACTAACGCACACATGAACAACCAATAAGGTGGAGTCTGTCTTTGTATTTCACAAGAGACACAACAAGGGACCCACCCTGAGGCTTTATGGGCCAGACTCTCATGTGTCCATGTGTTCAGATTGTTTAGCCTTGTGGTCACATTTGTCTTCAGAGAGCCCTGCACTGTATGTCATTATACCGTGTAGATAAAAGCCAGCGGGGACTGAGCGGACAAATGTTACCTGTCCAACAGGATTGTGTGTGTGTGTGTGTGTGTGTGTGTGCGTACGTGTGTGTTTTGAAGGCATGTGTGTAAAGGGAGACAGGAATGTTGAAAGGACAGTACTACTGGAGTTGGCTTTTGTTCTCTACACACCTTGTGCTTGTGTGTGTTTGGAGAGTTATAATTAGGCTTCCATTTTCTATTTGTAGCAGGTCGACAGCCTGATTAGACGTGGTGCAAATGTCGATTTTAATTAAAGCTAAAACGATTAGTTGATTGACAGAAAACTAATCCACTGTTTAGATAATGGATCAATTAATGTTGTGTTTAATTTTTCAAGCAAAATGGCAAAAAAATTTAGATCCCATATCCACAACTGCGCATTTTTGCTTTTCTTGTTCTTCTCTGACAGTTAAGTGAATATTTCAGGTGGCTGGATTGTTGGCTGAGCTAAACATTTTATGAAGTTGTTGGGCTGTGAGAAATTGTGATGACATTTGTGGTGAGACGCTCGATCAAATGAAACATTGATTGAAGAAGAAAAATGAGTAGATTTAAAAACATATGAGAATGCTAATTAGTCATAGTTCTGAATTAAATACAGGAAATGCACTTTGTCAGATGCTTCGTCTACTGTAATGATGAATTCATTGTTTAGCCAACTATTGTCTGACTTCCTAATTGTAAGGATTCTGTGCTTTCATTCGTCTTATGTGTTGTCAGGCAAAAGAAGCCTTTTAAAGATATCTGCTTGACTTTTAGTGAACTGTCACAGACGTTTAATATTATTTTCTGACAGTTTTTAGGCTGAGTTGAGTCATCAAGGAAATAACCAGCAGATGAATTAATAATGACAATTTCTTGCAGCCCTGCAGCATATCTCAGTGTCGTGTCTGCTTAGCCAGAGTATCCAACTTCATCGTAGCAGTTTGTCTCCTATGCTCACTGACTCACTTCGTGGACCCTGGGAGTGTCAGGAAGTCCGATATGAAGGAAACTGTCCACCTTAGTATCTGCATTGTTGGACACAGTAAACAAAGGATACATTGTGAGACTGATTTAACACAAAACTGTCAGTTTCACCACAGGAACATACTGCATGATGATAGTTTTAAAACACACAATCAAAACTTAAATGAGCAAGGTGTGAATTGTGGTCCTATTATAGGGGACCAATTTTAAACTTAAATTAAATTAAGCCATTATATGTAATGCCAGACAGTCTTCCTGAATAATTTCTACAACTAACAGCTATGTCATTATTGATTAGTTAATTGATTGATTGATTGATTGATTGATCTCGTCTTGATTTATAGTTTAGTTTATGAAAAGTTAACACAGAAACCCAAGGTCCTGTCTTTACATTATGCAAAATCCAGTTTTTCATTGTTCTAGAATGTAATTACATACCCCCAGTATGTCAAGAACCTCACAAAATACAAGACCATCCCCTAAAACCATGGAGGTTTGCTGCCTGTTGTGATGTCACAGCAGTATAAGCCCCGCCCCCAACTGGCTCCTCCTTCTCTGTGCATCTCACCAAACAGGGTTGAGATAAGTAGAGATGTGCTTGTGGTCTTTTTTCTGAGAACAGTGCAGGAAGCAACAGCTTATCGTGATTTGAAGATACAGACACTGGGCCGCCGTTATAGCTCAACTGGTTGAGCTGGCGATCCATGTACAGGGGCTATAGTCCCCGACATAGCAGTCATGGGTTCAAATCCAGCCCATGGCCGTTTGCTGCAGGTCCTTCCCCCATTCTTCTCCCCACTGTCCTGTCTCACTCTCTACTGTCCTGTCAAATAAAGGCAAAAAGACCAAAAACATAACTTAAAAAATAAAGATACAGACACTAAAACAGCCAGTTTTGAACAGGGCTGGAACCCGGGGTACTGAAGAAATGATAGAAATAATGATTTGTGTTGAATTTTAGGGGGAAATTTAAGACACACATTGTGGAGAAATGGGAGACTTAAATTAGCTTGTTAAAAAGGGATATATTAGGGGGGCTTTAAATTGCTTATTTTGTGGGGCAGATAGTCAAAATCCCAGCAGCATTTAAAACAACACACACACTCGAACTGAAAACGAGAATTTTTTTTTTTACAGTATCAATCAGTCACAACACATGATAACGCTCACTTAAGTCATATGGCTGGTCTGTTGCACTGCCTTAAATTTAGATTGTGCATAAAAACGGTGCAAGTCCCACCCTGACCTCAGATTTCACCTTGTAGCCACAGTTTCGTTAAGTGGGGCAGTACAACGTCAGAACAATGCAAAATGTGTATCTGTGCAAAAACCTTCAGACTGAACTGTATCAGCTGTGTGTTTCCCAGCAGATGCCTCCGGTGTTTGTGTGTACATTCAGTGCTTGTGTGTAAGCAGTTGTCGCTCTGTGCTGTTCCTCTCTCAGGACCAGTATGATGTCATCGACAAGCACACACAGTCGGGCCTTGACCTGGTGGACCGATACATAAAGTTTGTGAAGGAGCGGACAGAGATAGAGCAGAACTACGCCAAGCAACTCAGGTGTGCTCTTGTTTTCTCCCTGAAGGTTTATTTGCATGTACATGAACTTGGATCCTAAATCTAATGGTGTTTTTGTGCATTCATATATGTGTGTGATAGTTAAACAACGTTTTTATTCACTGTCTAACAGGAGTCTATCAAAGAAATACGCCAAACGAGGAAGCAAGGATGAGCAAGACTGCAAGTGAGAAAACAGCATGTCCAGTTTCCAATTGGTTTTCTTACTTTGCATGTATAAAAACTGTAATTACAAACCCCCTGAGCTGCAGTTGCTGAAGGCCTGTCACGCTTTCAGTTTCCATGTGGCACGTATCCAGTAAAATTAAAATGGTGGCTGATTTACTGTGTGATTTTTCACAGTTCTCTCATTTATTGCTGACTTCATCAGCTGCATTTTACTAACAGGGGTTAAAAAGGTGATTTAACACTAAGACTCCAGCTGACCGCCCACTGACTTCGTTTAAAATGACAACTCTGTCAAGGAGTCTTAAGCATGAAGGGTGCATCATATGTAACCACAGGACTGACAAAAAAAAAAATTACACATTCAGACAAAACAAGAGAAATATTGTTACTATTGCAAATAAAATGCCCGTTGATGGTTTGGATTTTTACAGTGGAAATTCAACAAATATACTGTTTTTGGTTTAATTTACTTTTAATGTTGATTTTTTCAAACCGGATGCTTCAGTTCATGACCAGAGGGTATCAGGTTAAGAAATAACTGATGGATCTGACAAATGCAATATTATCTAATGCAATGCTGAATTATCATTAGTTGTGAGTCCTTAACTGTAAATGATTCTGATGCCACCTTTAACTCCACACATTAACACGGTTCACTCAGAAACAATGTAGGGAGGGCTGTTCAGTAATGACAAAAAATCATAATCGTAATTATTTGGTCAATATTGAGACCACAAAAGTTTTGCCTGATTATTCTTTTGACTTTAGAAACATCACCAACCAAAGTTCATTAGTGCTGCATCATCCTTGTGCATCGAGGTGGAATCTGGACTTAGAGGTTTTCAGTCACAGATGGTAGCTTTGCCAAGCACATACACCAAATGGTTAATCAGCAGTTCCTGATCAGTAGAAAACCTGTCTCATAAACCCAGCTCACGTTCCCTGTTAGTGGGTTAATTGTCCAGCATTTGGTGAACATTTGGAGAAGAAACCTCTAAAGCAAACGTGTGCACTGGACTTATAACACAAGACAAACTGTGAGCATCATTGCAAAACAGAATAGGGAAGAATAATCGTTGTGTCTCGATCCCCTTGTTCACATTTTCTTTGGAAGCCAAAATTGTTTTGTTTTTCATTGAAAATAAAAAGTTAATTAACTGAACAGCCCAAACTGTAAGTAGTGAGCCAGTTAGCCAGACATGCTAACATTCTCAGCTGACTTTAGAGCAGATAAAGACACAGTTCCCTCACTTTTGCTTTTTTGTTTTTGGTTTCTTTGGAAATAGCCCCACTGACATCACTTTACCATATAGTGAAATCCAAAGCTTGACAGAGTTGTTGGGCCTCTTTAAGCTGTGATTGCACAATTGCTGATCAGAGTCGTACTTTAGTAAACACTCCGATAAATGTTGGTCTTTCTAGCTGCCAATTTGTCCCTTTCCCTCCTGTTCCAGGTTCAGCAATCACGCATCATTCCAGGAGATCCTGAACGAGCTGAACGATTACGCCGGGCAACGGGAGCTCATCGCTGAAAACATGATGACGGCCATCTGTGTGGAACTCACCAAGTACCTTCAGGACATCAAACAAGAACGCAAAACAGTGAGAGGCGGTTGGAGGGAGGGACAGAAAAGGGAAGAAGGAAGTAACGCTGCAATTTGGCAGTTTTGATATGCTGTCATCACGTAAAACTGAATCTTCTTCCTTCCCCAGCACCTGTCTGACGCCAAGAAGGCCCAGCAGACGTTAGAGAGCAGCTTTAAACAACTAGAAAGTGTGAGTCCCACGTTGTTGTTTGCAGATATTTAGTTTCCTATATCACCACTGGAAAGATCACACAGGTTACCTTTTGTGGAATCTCATCTTGCACACATAGTTTTGCCGGAAGGGCAAATACTGCCAAAGTTCAAAAGTTTATCTGACTTTATTGAGTTTAAAACTGGTTTGTGAATCAGGAACATCCTTGTAGAGAAACTCAAATAATGTTCATTGTTCATTTGCCATTTGAAAATGCATTCATCATCAAATTGTAACTTTCTTTGCACATTTTTGCATGTTTGGCAAACCTGCTGTCGGTTAATAAGCTGGATCTAATTTTTGTATTAACGCTAATTCATACAACAAGTTTTAACTATTGGCTAGAACAAGGTTTGGGGTTCCCAGGTTCTGAAAAATCCATTCATCATTAATAAAATATTTTCTAAAGAATGAATGTCCCATTTCCTGTTACGCCTGTTCTGCTGTAATAAATTTGTCTTTAGTAGTAAAGGTCACAGGTTTATCTTTTAACAGCAGAACAACCAAGGTTAAAGGTGTTCTGTGGAGTTTTCATTTAATATGCTCCCAGTTATTTAAGTTATGTGTAATTTACATCCACGTTTGGCTTTGTTTTGGATGTTTGTTTTTGCATCTATGCTTGTGCCAGAACACACTGCTCCATAGCACTGAAGTGACCAAAACATTCCTTTGGATACCTTTAATATAATTACAAATGATAAT